GGGGCGCCAAGGCCGGGGACCTGCAGGGCCGGGCCCGCGGGGACACCCCGCAGGGGGAGCCCCCGGCCGCCGCCGCCGCCCAGGACGCGGCCGGCCCGGACCTGGCGCCCACGCCGGAACCGCCGGAGGAGTACGCGTACCCGGACTACCGCGGAAAGGGCTGCGTGGACGAGAGCGGCTTCGTGTACGCCATCGGGGAGAAGTTCGCGCCGGGCCCCTCGGCCTGCCCGTGCCTGTGCACCGAGGAGGGGCCGCTGTGCGCGCAGCCCGAGTGCCCGCGGCTGCACCCGCGCTGCATCCACGTCGACACGAGCCAGTGCTGTCCGCAGTGCAAGGAGAGGAAGAACTACTGCGAGTTCCGGGGCAAGACCTACCAGACTCTGGAGGAGTTCGTGGTAAGAGGCGAGCGCCCGCCGGGGCCACTTTGCACCTCCCGCCGCGGGGTGAAACCTCCCCGCGCGCTAGGCGCCCCCACTTTGAAGAAGAGGCGCGTTCTGGTTCCCAGAGGCGGACAGCGCTGTGCTCGCGTCCCCTCAACACGATCTGTCTTTTCAGAGCGGAGGTAATCTTTAAGGCAAAGTGGCCGATCCACATTAATTCCTCGGGTCTTCGCTGTGAAACGGTTTGGAGAGGGTGAGGCCCACGGCATTGAGGGGACGGCCGCCACCGCCCCCCCTCCCCCCCCCCAGCACTAACTGGCTGTGCTGTCCCTGGTAATCCGCTGCTTCTAATTTAAAAAGCGGGGCCGCCGAAATGCTCAACCTGTTTCCAAACACGGGGTAATTCGGCGTGCCATTTGGGGTATAGTCTTCTGCTAATAGCTAATTAAGGGAGACCATTCCTATAAATAAGCCATCTCCCCAGATTATGAGTTGGAGTATCATGCAAATGTCCTCAAAAGGAAAAGAAAATGCTTGCTCATTGGATGCCAAAACACAGTGGATGGCAAAAACCAGAAAGTGCAGTTTAGGGTTATTATTATTATTATTATTATCATCATCATTATTATTATTTTAGGGGCATACTAGTAATAGTGTTTACAGCACTGGCCATCTCCTGAGCGCCTACTGTACGTCAGGCTGCAGGCCGCGCTTTTCCCGTGTGTTAACTTGGTTAAACCTCATAACATACTGTGAAACAGATGCTTACCTGTGATCTCTGGTTGATGGGGAAGAGGAAACCGAGGCACAGAATATTTAAATAACAGGGTGAAGACAAGGTTGCCGTTAAGAAGCAGACTCATGAGTCAGGCCGAGCTGTGCTAATGCACGTTGTCTGCTTCCCCCCTTACATGCTGTTATGTGAAACAGAAGCCCAGCCCCGCTGGGGCACAGGTTTGGATGGAGATGCTGGCCTCTTGCACGTGCTGGTCCCTTGGGGAACTCTAACAGCCCTGTCTCTCCCCCACTCCGTGGCCTGGGCAGAACTACACAGATCTTCATTCAGACCCCCCAAGAGAGGCCTGTCTGGACACGTGGCCTGTTGACTGGGCAGAGAGAGGGTTTCCTGCGTGACAGGGGGCGTCCTGGGGCCTGCAGCCCCCAGCACTGAGCAGGGAGGGAAGGCAGGGGGGAAGGAATCCTGCTGGAGGCCCCCAGAGCCCAGCCTCGGAGATCCACACATTCAGGATATGCCCAGGATGTAATGGCCCCTAAGGAATTTGAAGAATCAATCCCTGGTGTGGTAGAAATAGAAAGCCAGGAAGGACTGATCTGTAGATAAGGTAGCAAGTGTGGAAGGAGTGCTGGGATTTAGAGTAGAGAAACACAGGTGTCCATCCTGGCCTTGCCACTAACCAGCACGACAAGGACAAATCGCATCTTTCCTCTGGGGTTGTTTTCCTCATCTGATAGCTAAGGCTGGTTGGAGCTCTAAACGGCCTCATGCCCAGGATGCATCCCCAGGCCAGCCTGTTTAGCACAGTTGTTCACTCCAGCCCTTCGAAGAAACAAAGACAACTTTGTCGAGAAACTCCTATGAACCAGACCCTGACCATACACCAGGAGTTAGGTCGGCGCCCTGCCCTCACAAGGCTCCCTTGCTAGTGGGAACCTGGGCACACGTCTCCCCAGGTGTGCTGGTGCTGAAGCAAAGGTCCTGGCAAAACCCAGGTACCTTCCCAGGTACCTACCCAGAGGTACCTTCCCTACCCAGAGGTAGGTATCTACCCTGGGAAGAGGTATCTTCCCTACCCAGAGGTACCTTCCATGTTGGCCTGGGCTGGGGCTGTAGGCATGGGCCCAACAAAATAATTCTCTTGAGTTTTAGGCTCATGAGAAAAATCTCTCAGGGTTATAAGAACAAAGGCAAGTCGTTAGTTTTTATCGATTGCATTTGTTGGTTGCATTGTATCTTGTTTTATAGTCATTTCCTAAAAGAGTCTCATGAAGTCAGCTGCATTTCGATCTAAAAATCCCAGACACATCACAGGGTGGCCAGTCATCTGCCTGAGATGACAGACAGAGAGAAGAATTCAAACTTGTGTTGTAGTAATTCATCGCTAAGTGCTGGGTGCCACGGAGCTGCCTTTGCGAGCCGGGGAGGGGGTGGGGGGGGGGGGGACTCTTACGTGATTCAAAAATCGGTGGTCAGGAAGCAGAATGTGTTGCAGCCTCTGGAGATGGGGGATGTTGGCAACAAACGGGAGATTGGAGAGATGATAATCTTGGGAAGAATTAAGGTACCCGTGAAGCTCTCTTTTGAGTGTTAAGTACATCTCTCGTCTCCAAGTGGTACTTCATTCTCAGCTTTCATCCAGTCATCAGCGGCTGCCAGGATGGACACGTGCATGAATGTTGCAAAGCTTCTACACGTTCGGTGACGCGCTTGCTCCCCTAACACATACAACCCCCTAATGATTTCATTCTGCACGATGTGTATGTCATGCTCGTTTCTGTGACTAGGGGTTGCAGTTACGCCCGGCTGCGGTGCCGAGTGCCCGGGCACGACCACTGTCCACCTCTCTGCTCTGGAGGTTCTGGGCTTTCAGCGAGAGCTCCGCTAGCGTGGTCTGTAGTTTGCACGGCACCGTGTGCGGGCAGTGGAAAAGGAGAGCACGTTCTGTCTGAAGCGCTTTGCTCTTCTCCCAAGAAAAGGTTAAGGAAACGGGGGTTGTGGTCCGTGTGTGTCTTGCTTGGAATGCTGGTCACCGCAGCAAGGAAGGAGGGGAAAGGGAGGCCAGTGCTGGGCCTCCTTCCCTGGGAGGCACACGGGCGTCTGAGGCGTCTGCTCGGTGCTTCCCCAGAGAGAGGGAGGTAGTGATGAAGGCTGGGGGCTCACTCTGGGCATCTGTCTGGGAAACAGATCCTGCCTGGTGCCTGTGATGCTGTGCATCTGGCCCCTGCGAGGCGGCTTCCCTCTGTCTTCCTGGGCTGCTCTTTCTTGGGCACGTGGCTCTTTGCCCAATTTTCACAGTTTCGTCTTTTCCCTCCTCTCCCTGCTCCCTACAGACGCCATCACAATCCCTCTTCTTTGCAGCCTGCCTGATAATCTCGGCCAGATGTCAGCGGAAGAGCTCACTCACCGCGCCCACGAAATCCCCTTACGCTGATAATGACTAGAGTAATATCCTCATGTCTCTAGGAATGTTTGCAACTTAATTTGTGTAGCCACGGAAAAATGTAGTCGCTGGTGGAGTTTTCTCCACTGCCTCTCAGATTCCACCAAGTGGCCTGTTCTTCAACTTACACGAGCAGGTATCCAACTTTGGAGAAGGAAGCCTGGTCTGCTGGTTTGTATTTTTTTTTTTTTTTTAAACGAATGGCATTTTCACGTGTTCTCTGCTTCCTGGGGGCATGCTCATTTGCTGGCGTTGCCGTCATAAAGGACCACAGACCAGGCAGCTTAAACCATAGAGATTTATTGTTTCACGGTTCTGGAGGCTGGGCGTCCGAGATCAAGGTGGGGGCAGGGTTGGTTTCTTCGGAGGCCTCTCTCCTTGGCGTTGTAGACGGCCGTCTTCTCCCTGTGTCCTCACCAAGTTCACACTCTGTGTGTGTCTGCGTCCAGTCTCCTCACACAGGTCATATTAGGTTGGGGCCCACCTGGATGACCTCATTTTAACTTAATTGCCTCTGTAAAGATTTTGTCTCGAAATACGGTCACAGTTGGAGGTACTGGGGGTTGGCCCCTGAACCTGAGAATTTGGGAGGGAGGGCACAGTCCAGGCTGTAACATAGCCGTAACAGGTGTCGGAGGCCAGAGTTGACCTCACGTGGACGAGCCCAAGGAGATACAAGGACTGTGGCCAGGGGAAGCCTCCCTGGCAAGTACGATTGAAGAAATAATTTATAAAGAAGGTGCAGGGGTGATTGGTGATAAACTCACTGCCCGAGAAGCATAGCCAGGCAGGCAGGCCACCTAAACCACTGTCGTTCTGTGCCTATTCCATTCCGAGCGCTGTTAGGACCTACTGTACTGTTTATGGCGGTAGATCTGTGAGCCAGACACAACTAATGAGCGGCTCTCCGGTGGGGGGCTCCCTGGAGCAGTTTCAGATCTGCCCCGATGACTACCAGGCAGAAAGGCAGGCAGCAGGTCAGATTTGGAGTTTACCAACAGAAAAAGATTGCAGTTTGAGCCGCAAAATTAAGTTGTTCCCCTCACGGGGTCTCCTGATGCCCTGGGGGACTGTGAGGTTAGAAGCGGGGGTCTGCAAGATTGTCCTGGTGCTTTGTAGCGTCTAAGCAATTTATACAACCCCCGCCTGTGGATAAGGCCCTCCAGGAACACGAACACTGCTCGCGTCTTGGCTTCTGGGTCGTGTGATGCCAGTTCCGCCTGTCCGCGGTGGCTCTCGTAGTGATCAGGAACTCTGATTAGCAATTGTAGAAGTCTTTGAAGAAAAAGAGACGCTGCATTATTAATAAGTACTGCTTGCTCGCCTGTTTTTCAGAGCGAGAGGCCTGTTGAACCAGAGGCAGCTGGACAGAGATCCGCCGGCACGGGGATGTGGGGCCGCCGGGGAGCCCAGGCTCTCCCAGGGTGTCAGTGTCTGACCCATGATTAACCCTGCTGCAGAATCTCCTTTCCAGAAGTTTAGTAATGAAAAAACTTCCTCCATGAAATCTGGAATCAAAAGCTCCAAGTAGATCTCTATTGCAATTATGAAAAGGTGCCAGGAGAGAGACACATTCATCATGTTTTTCAGTTGCATGGTATTTATTTCCGTTCTTCCGGTTGATGTTACTTAACATAAAACAATACTATTTATTATTTACTTTTGCAAAGTACAATGAATCAAGCTGCGTAAAGCTAATGTTCTCTAGTCGGCCGGATGCTTGTGTTGTTCCTAAGCCTGAGTTTGCTTGGGTTCTGAGTAAGATTTTCTCAATTCTGGACCTGTCGGTTTCTGCCTTTCTTGGCCAAAGCCATTTAAACAGTAGCAGTTTGTTTT